TGAAGGCAATGGACACTTTATTATCAACCAACGAAATGGATAAATTCAATTACTGACTTTTCTATTCAGTATATTTATGAAAATTTTATCATTTCGACTTTTATTTTTTCTTATTGCATATATGAAAAAATTGATATATGACAAAATTCATTTCAAATAAATAAAAAAAAAACTCTGTTTATGTATATTATTTTGCTCTAGTAATTATTTCAAACCATTTTTATTCTCTAATTATCATCAACTTATTATTTTATTATTAAAGAACTTATATTATTTATAATTTTAATTTATTTTAAATAAATATAAAGACATTTTGTCAGTAATTCTTAAATCTTAATAAATAAATAAAAAGCTAATTACACGTGGCACGGCCATCCAACTACCCAAGTTTGACGTCATTATGAAGATTTTGATGATCCTCGTTATTTTATTTGTTTTATAAGCATGAGGTGATAAAGTATTTGGGAATAGTGGTGATAAAATGGCACAAAGCATGCGAGTCAGTCTGTTAATTCGTTAAAAATTGATTAAATATTTGAAGTCATTAACTCATCTAATCTGTTCCACCTAACTTGTCAGATTGTGGGGTTAAACTTAAATGGTCAACTGGGCCACTTCAGCCTGTCAGTCCTCCTATTTTAATTTTTCTTTTATATTTTATTTATTATTTTTAATGTGAGTTTAACCAAGTTATCACATATTAATTTTATGTATAATATGTGATTTATTATATAATATGAAGTGTATTTGATTTATATTAATATATACAGTTTGAGATTTGTTATGTAATAAATATGTTATATGAGTTATAAATATTATTATAGTTACATATTTATTTTGTTATGTAATAAATTGAGATTTATTATATAATAAATTAAATTAAATCAGTTATAGTTTGACTATTTTTTATTATTTAAATATATTGATTTCTTTCTTTTTTGTATTATACTTTTTTGCAGGCTGACCCAATTTTAGATGAGACGGACCAATGTTTTTAGCCCCATTTTGTTTAGTGGTCTAGTCCGTTTTAGGTAGGTCTGAATAGGTTAGGATGATTCGTTTTTTCCTTATCTAAAATATATTAAAATTAATTTATTACATAAAAAATATTAATATTTTTGGACTAATCATGTGATAATATGAAGTATTTATGGACTATGTTGATAATTAATTATCAAAAAATTTAACTAATCATCTTTAATAGAGTCTTTCATTCAATCATATATTTTTCATGCACATTACTCAAACTCGAATCATCGCATAAATCGATACAAAGTTTAAAGTTATAAAATATATACGTTATATTATATTAAAAATTTGTAATGAATAAATATTTTTAAACAAATTAATTTTTTAAAAGATATAAATTATGTTTTATATTTATGTTAAATGATTAGTATTTTAATATATACATTACACAAGTTAATTGTTTATTATTTACTAGTAAGGAAAATTTCACTCCATGCTTCCGTAGAAAGTAGAAAGAAAGAAAAAAGATAGATAATTATTTTTAAATAAATAAGCAAGTTTTATTTTTTGTAATAAAAAGAACATTTTTTATACATTTTTTTTTCTTTCTATTTCATACATATACATTAATAGATTGTAAATTAGAATATAAAATAAGAGTATAATTGACTTTCTAAAAATGGATATCAAAATAGTATATAAAGATAAATAAAATTTATGATAAACTATATATATAAAGTAACTATTATATATCCCAATAAATATTATATTAATTTAAAACTTATATAAATAAATATTTTTGAATATGAAAATTATAATATTTATGAAAAATAATTTATATTATAACACAAGATTATTTATGATTTATTTAAAATAATTTAATTTAATTTTAAAAATATATAAAATAAATACGAATTGAAACAATTATACACGGTGTCAGTGTGAAGTGATTTTATCATATATGTATATATAAATATAAATAAATAAATATATATATATATATATATAATAACACAAAGAGAAATATATAATATAATAAATAACTCAACGTAATAGTATTCAATACGTGGGATTAAAATCCTAATAACATTTATTTA